GACGTTTATGAACATTTCTTAACATAATGTGTGTCGCGAAAAAAACATAGATGAGTTCTTAACAAAAATAAGCTATCATTCAACTGTAACGAATTCAAAACAATTATAAACGATATATCATAATCAGCGTTTGCATTGTTGATTATACAATAATTTTGTGCCAATAAAGTGAAAACCAATACTTTATTGAAATAATAAGTATTAAATTTAATTTTGATATATATTTCCTACGGATAACAAACAAAGATTATTTGATAATTTGGCCTTATATTGCCACCTCTGATAGAATTGATTCTTAATAAATGTCATTTCATTTGTTGGCATAGAATGTTTTGATGAAGCAAAATAAAAAATAATAGTTAATTAATTTATTATCCAACGGTGCCTCCAATTAAAATTTTTATAATGAAAATCAATTTGGCACAATGTGTAACTACAAAAAATGATGTGTCAAGAAATAGATCTTGGTACACTTAATTGTTCGAGATTATATCTCGTTATTTTTTCATGCTTTCTTAAGTACACGTCAATACTCAATTAATGATATATAACAAAGGTCTTATATTGTTAAATATTTATCAACAAAGACACTGCTGCGCTGTTATCAAGAGACAAATATTCATGCCAATTAGGAACAAAGGTTTTGTACTCAATGTTTGCTGTAATTAATTTACAACAGACATTGCATGATAATATTGACTAAATAAGTACTCTTAGAAGGAACGACGCAATTTAAATTCAAATATTTACTTAAACACTTCGAACAAAAATAAAAGAAAAAGAAAGGAAAAGAATAAACAACAAAAAATAAACGACGACAGATAAAAATCATTATTTTTGTACATCATTGTATAATCATAACTGTTCTGTTTTTTTTATTTTACTCATCACCATAAGATAACTATTCTATTTAAGTAATTCAGCGTGCGTTATTATATCTATACTTTTCTTTATTGTGTCGTTTATCATTAGTTCTCATACGGCAATTCATATGATAATACATATTCTAATTCCCTAGTAAAATACGTGTAACACATATAAACACATATAAAATTTTTTGTACTATATGATTTAGATATACAAAAAATATTAGTACACAAATCCAAAAACAAAACAAAAAAACTTTTGTGCCAATTTTCAGATTTTTTCCTCATCCCGTTTGCTTTGCCAGAATAATCTTGAAAAAAAAAACCTTTTAGATAAATTCAGATAAATAAGTTTTCTGAATATTACGTCACTGGATTAGCTAACAAACGATTGAATATATTCGTGATAGAAATCAATAGCGATAACAATGTGAATGTCAGAAGAATCAAATTCGAAAGAGAACTGGAAAACAATGAAAACTGTCTAAATCCAACAACACCCGGTCACGTCTCTTTGATAGATTATACTCCTCGTCATGCATACAACTGCTGCCACATTATTCAATATCTCACTTTGAGTGCTCCTGTTTAACATGATACTTAATCTGATTCTAAAAGGTGAAACATTTACACCGGCGATTCAAAGACTCCAGTGTTGGTGTAGCAGTCTTTGAAAATCATTTTACAGCAAAATTGAAACTACTAAATAAGGATATCTGATAATGCATCTATCTTTACTGCCAAAGCAAAAGCTTTAGATTTGGTGTTGCCGAACTAAGTCACTCAAACTATGTTGAATCTGAAACCACGTTGATATACGTGGAAATAAAAGAGAGAGAGAAATCTCTGATAAGGGATCATTTAAAACTCAACCAGTAGTCTTATTGCAGCCAAACTGTGATTTTAAATTATTTCATTAGTAAATTTATATTATCTGATTGGAAATCAAATTAGAACAAAACTTATTTTACAAACAATGATATCCACCCCTGTCTTGAATAAAAATCACCCAATATCTTATTTCATCTATTTCTGGGCAAAGATCAAGAGGTTCTTTTTCGATGTTTGATTGAAAAGGGACCCCATCCCTTTTAAACAATGATTCCCTTGAAGCCTGGCCCAAAGAAAAATTTGATTGTCAAAAATCTTTTTTGGGGAAAGACATGGGGTTTTTCATATTTAAAAGTAAAGGGAAAATTAAATTAAAAGAAAACCCTTTAAACCCCACTTTTCTTAAACCGAACTCTCTACTTGCTTTCTTGACTAAATCAACTTGTTTTTCTAAATTTAAAGTCCTCAAATTTGGGAAAAACGTGGTAAATCGGGTTTATGGCCCTTTGTAAACCCCTTAGACTGGTTGGGTTCGGGGGGTGAATTTTGATAAACAATAAGTCGGGGGTGCGTTTTCAACCCAAAAAACACTCAAACACAAAATCGAATTCTTGTTTTTTTCTTGGGAAATTTTTTTTTTTATGTGGTCTTACCCGGTCAAATTCGATTCATCCAAATTCCTTCCCTCATGCCAAAAAATATGGATTTAAATTTTAAAAAAAAAAATTTATTTTTGGTTAACAAAAGGTGTTATTTTAAAATAAAAAACAAATGACAATGGGGAGGAAAAGACAAACGAAAGTTTTTAAAACGAATAACTAAGGGTTTTCCCCTTCCTCTTTAAAAATGTTTGTTCCCAAAGGGGGAACAAACACATTTTGGAGCTTTAAAACGTAACCCGTACATTGCCCAATTAGTAGAGTGCCTTTTTTGGGTTTCAATTTTGATTTTAATTTAAAACATAAAATTGCCCCATCAAAAAAATGTATGTCTTTTCATTCTTTTTAAAAACGTATCCCAATTGTAAAAGGAATATTTGAAAGAGATTTGTTCAGAAAATCTAAATTTTCTCTTTTCAAAGTAAATACCCAAATTTTTTTTTTTACGCCTCTACTAAGCCTCTACAAAACAAATTGTTCTTTTAATTTTTTCAGCGATCAAATGGAAAATTAATCTTTCAAATCTTGAGAAGATATCACGCACTTTCCGTTTCTATATTTCACTACCGTCCATGAACAGGCTCAATCAAACCGAACCTACAACATTTTGCCGTGTTAGTCTTTCTTTAGGGATTCCATTTTTCTCTATTTTGAAAGAATACCTTTCTTACAACTTGTTTGTTTTGGTCAACAACAGGTCTTACTCCTATGATACAAGATACTATGTACAAGAGCATCTAGTAAAATATTTCGTTGTTACACATCTGACCAACTGAATGAAATACCTAAAACAATTACATCACTTTGTTCAGGCACATCCATCTTTCGTTGCTGCATGTGTATAAATTTGATAGAGAAGTTTAAACAATACAGCGGAGAAAAATTATCAAACAACATTACTTTTGGTCCACTTTTATTTTTCCCCTGAATCCATTTTTCATATTTAAAATGTTTCAAATGAAGACTTGCTCGCAAGATTTATATGTGTGCAATTTTGCTTTTGGCTCTATATCAAAGTAAGGTTAACTTTGAATTAACTGATTTACTAAAATACCAAATATATCGTAAAATCAATATACGTGTACAAACAAAAGACTGTTTTGTGAGGCTTAAAACCATTCAATGTATTCAATATCTCAAATTTTCACCTGATGAATTTTCAACTTCAATACATGTTTATGAAGCTTCACAAATTCTTGATAATCTCCATTTCAATCAAAAATCACATTAATGAAATATAATCAGAGTTCTGGAGCATGAAATGTATAACATTTTCAAGAAATATATTCTCTTTTAAAATACATAATCAAATTGAGTATGCATCATGTACGTTATTTGTACTGGTCTTACAGAGTTTCTCCTATGCACATGCTGAAGGTGTATAATTAAAAAACTATTTTAGAGAATTTCCTGAACTCTGATTTTTAATACGAAATCAAGAATTTGGTTTAAACAATATTTTATTTCAGTCAAATATATATATATACAAAATATTAAAATAAAATGCAAAAAGGATTGAGTAGAAAGCTAGAAGCTTTTTTTAGAAACTCTTTCCTTGATTTTTTTAGAAACTCTCTCCTTGAAAGAATCAAGAATGTGTGAAGATTCATATGTATGGAAGTTAATCAGGTGACAATTTCAGATATTGAATACACTGGATGGTTTTAAACATCACCAATCAACCTATCTCTTTAAATGTGTGTACCCAACTCCGAGTACCACAATGGGTAATTTGTGTTAATCAGAGATATAAACACCAGTCTGGTGGAATTTTGCTCAAACCAAAAAAAAAAAGATTAATTTATAAAACTATCTACATTTTAAAAAAGACTAATCCTATCTTTAAAAAAATAAACGAATAATCTGATTTTTGTGCACACAATCTATTGGTGTACATCAAATGGTACATTAATCTTAAAATTATTTTTCCCAGTTCTGTCATGTAACAAAACCTTTTTAAATGTGTTTTAAAGAATGAAATGTTATAACATTACAGTACTATTAAAATGAATGTTGAAAAGCTAAACAACGAAAAAGACACAAATGTTACAAATGCTAATATAGTCAATTATCACGATGACACGTTTCCATGAAACCTTAATATCCTCATGACATGAAACATCTTCTGTGGCTGCATCAGACATTTCATTTATGTCGCAATTTTCTGAATCTGCCATTTTGCAAAAAGGTTTTTCTATCTCCGGATTTGGTCGCGATCTCCCCTGAAATCTTTGTACTCTGTGTTAGGAACGCTGGTTTATATGCAAACTTTCTTTAGACAGCGCTTCTGATTTATAGTAGAGTCACAAGTTGAAAATAGTTATCAGTGTAACGGAGGCGCTGTTAATGAAATCAAATAGCAGCTTGTATGGAATAATCGGTACTGGTTCCGAACTTTTGGGGAGCGTGTCACGGACTATGGTCATAAAAACGGCAACCGAAAGTGATCCCTGGGTTGAGATGCAGACAAATTTACCACTAGGTCACCACTCCCCCTTTTAAACCTGCTTAGGATTTGTGCTTCAATATTTAAACAATAACATACGTGAAACCATTAATACTACTTTAGGATGATGTATACATTCTAAAATGTATTCTTATCAAACCAACATAGAGAAAAGAAAAAGAAATAACTGTATAGCAATTTAGTTTTTATATATTTATTTACATAAATACATACATGTACAAATATAATATAAGAGTACTATAAATATATACATTCTCGTCTAATCTTCAGAGGTATTATATAAGAAATGCATCAAAAGCACTTCATAACTGGCTTATTGAATGGGGCGTGTTTGAGCAACAATTAATATTATTTTTTAAAAGGGCGGGAAAATGTATGGAAGACCTTTATCGTCTTCTTTCAACCAAGCCAAAATGAATACCTGCCTACGTTTATTAAAAAGTGTAGAATAGCAAATTAAAGTAATTATGAACAAATGTAAATGCACAATGGTTATAAAGATGAATATTATACTTTGTTTAAAGTCCCATTAAGATCTAATATGCTGTAATCTTCATTTCTTAAAAGAATTTAATTTACAGTTTCGAAAATGGTACCTATTGGCCTTAAAGCTGAGCCATTTTTGTCGTTTTGGTAAATTTGGTCATAAATCAAGTTGTTAAAGTGATTAAATACTTTTTTGGAAGACAAAGTACCACTTGCTTTACCTTTAATAGTTTTATCAAATGACAGTGCTTTCCTCATATGTTCAAAATCCGTATTCAGAAAATTACAAAACAGATGTGTACGAAACTCAAAATGTTTATATAATTCCCAGCTTAAAAGAAAATCATGGTATGTTTGAAACGATATTTCTACTCATGTAACAAAAACAATTGAAAATGACATTCTGCAGCATTACCCTGTGTAATAATCTCCAGTACAAAATAAAATCTTAAAATGTTTAAAATTTATCTCTTTTTGGATTTCCATGAAAACAAAGAAAAACAAATGATTAACATAATTATACACACCTAACAAGATGATCAACTAATGTTGATATAAAATAATGAAAAATAAGGATTAAAATGGGGTTAAAAATGGAAAATTGAATGAAAGTAATGTTTTATGAACACTAAATGATTACAAGTACAATGAACACGAAAGTCGAAAAAGAAAAAAAAAGAACATTTTGATTTTTGGCTAATACCGGAAAAATATGAGTTTTCTCAAAGATGAACTACACTCGTACGTTTGTACATGTAACAAAACGTGCCAAATAAAGATCTTACTTCGAAAATAAGTTTCTAACATTGATAAAATTATGTTTGTCTCTCGGTGAAGGGAAGTGTGCAAATTGTATATTTCCGTACCGACAAAGCCATTTTATTAATCTAAGATGAAATGTATCTGTGCAAGAGTTTAATCAATTTTGAATGAAAGTTGACCGTTAATCTAACATTCACGTTGACTGTTGCAATTATGATTATTGGCTTGTCCTATTATGGTGTATTTAATTCACTGTCTATAAAACTGCTATCAATATGAAAGCACTAAATTTTTATATACTGTAGTTGAAGTGACTTTAAGAATAAAGCTACTGTCAGAATGGAGCCTGGTCAGACTGCATGGAGGTGCAGTCTGACCAGGTGCGATACTCGCTGGCGGCAGAGACTGATCACTTCCGGTTCTAGCAGGGGAAGGGCGGTTAAATTATAATTTCAACATCTCATATGTCAGTTATGAGCATGTATTAACTCTAAAATAGAATAATGTTACAAAGTTACAAAGGCTCGCAAACGATATTTTGAATCTGTGCTGATAATTTTAAATTACATGTATTTACTAGGAAAATGGTTTGCCTTTTAAAGAATAATACTTTTAAAGATAAAGTCTGATTTTGTTTTCAAGTATCATAATTCTTATTATAACAACCTTATTATGCTATTTTAGTGCGCCTTACATTGGAAATAATTTTTTTAAAGTTCAACTTATTATTTAATCGAAACGACGTGATGATGCTAAAATCATTCTATGCAAAAGGTATTATAAGTAGTGACTTGAATTATGCACACACATTTTAGCCTTATAATACTGCAAGTTTCTCGTGTCGATTCCATTGGATAGTCGTGACTTTTATATAATTAATATAGACGGTTGCAGTCGATTCATAAATCATTTTCATATTTTCTCTTATAAAAGAAGCTTGCAGTATTATAAATTCGTTATAGAGTTTTGACAGATTATTTGGCGATATATAAACGGCTCGGGTTATATATAATGTAAACAACCGTTTATGTAAGGCCATATAACATGTCATAAAATCATTATAACTAATATTATAAACGTTTACTAATACTGAGAAATTTTCGACTATTTTTAAATTATGATCGTGCTTATTTCACACACAAAATATTACATGTATATACAATGTGAGGACTGAATGTTTTACTGGCGACAATATAATATATTTACCAAAAGAAATAAATGCTTAAAACCACCAAAAGAATAGATGGTTTAAAAACTGTACCCGTACTAGCTTCAATTTCGTGGTCGTCCGTACTGTAACCTGATAAATGTTTAAAAACTGGTATCGAGTTGTCTGAAACGTCATTTTTGGCGCCACATTTAACAAGTGGACTTTGGAACGAGGTCGGCCTGTTTTTAGGCGTTGCCAGGGATACGTAGTCACTAGGTCTTTGCCCTGCAAACATGAAACTTTTCCTACCCTTGTATTCTGTTTTGATTAACTCATATTCCACATTGGGTAACGTTATGCCAAGTGTGGCACATCCGTTTGTGTCCGTGACATCTTGAGTCACGCCAAGCTTCCACGTACCCGGATTACCACACTCGTTTCCATAGTAACTATTCAAATAATTGACTGTATGGAAGTCCAGCGGCGTTACTTTTAACCTCGAAGTTTTGAAAATATAATGATACGCAGACTTTATTATATCTGACCTATGACCTTTGGCATATGTTCCTTTGACCTCTATTTTGAAAGTTGACTGCGAGCAGAGAGGATCTTTGAAGAATTCATACACGCCCTGCCAGGACTTCCCGCTCGATAGAAACGACAAATATCTTGTCAGGTATTGACCATTTGGTCGGGTTTCACACCTCTGGCTGACCCATTCGCCAGATATGCCAACTTCGATAGATGCAGGTTTGTCTAGTCTCGGCGGTGACGTATGAGTAGCGTTAGTAATTACACGACACACGTGACATCCCTTCGTCTGAAAAGAAAAACAACTCTTGATATAATATTTAAAACAGTAATGTAAGATTAGTTCCCCTTTAACAATGTTGCGCTGACTGATATTTGAACCGGTTCAGATCAAAGTTCATCAGGTTTACATAAAATAATATGAATTCTGTTTACGGTCATTAGCGTTCTTAAATTAAGAATCTGAAAGCGTGAATGAGACCCCTCCGCAGGGTTTCTTCACTCACGTTAATTTGATAATGCTGAATGGTGACACCGGAAATTATATCCTGCGAGCGTCTTAATAACCTTGGAGACAATGTAAGGTGTCGTCTGCAGAATGATGTTCAGAGAATGTAGCCTGCAAATGACACCTAATGCCAGTGGCACCTAATTACAGAATGATTAAGAGAAATGGTCAAGAGGCATAATATTGTTTAATGATCTTGAGGGCCAAAGTAGGATAAGTTTCTGAAATTACTATGATGTTTGATAAAGAATGTGCCTTTAGAAAAATTTGCAGATAGATCTAGATTGAAATTGTAATGGTGCATGAGAAGACATATTTTAAGAACATTTGCTACCGTTTTCATTGTCATATATTTGTATGGACAAAATTGACAGTTTCATAGAATTTATTCAAACTTTGCAGGATTTAAGATTTTTTTTGATCCCCTTTTTGAGGATTAAATGTTCTGCAAATTAAAGGGAAGATAACTAATCCGTAAAATCAGAACACTTCAACACGTCTCAGGAGTGTACATGTATATGTTTACCGTCGTAAATTACGAAATCTAAACTATTTAGCGAGATTTTGATATTTGAGATGGATGACTTTACAAAATCTTAAACAGTATTTTTCGTTTTAAAGTGAGATATTCGTATTATAAACTCTGTATGAATGAAACGAAGTATTTTTTTTAATTGACGAATTTTTATGCCACTATTTACTTAAACATAATGTTTATAAACTATAAATTAGAAAGATATGCTTTGATTTTCATCTCTCTTTTTTTTGCATAATCTCATTGAGATAACAAGTGTTTTGATATACGCCCGACTTGAAATATCGAAATCAAAACATACCCTATACTGTACAGTGTATTAAAATAGATGAATAATTACAGTTGAAAAGAAAAACAACAAATTATCGTGTATCTATCTTAAATCATTCCTGTAGTTCGTCTTATTTCAATTTTAATCACCAAAATCTACATCTGATATAAAGAGCGATATGTTACCCACCCATGTTTCCCGTGCTAAACAGGCCTATTAGACGGGTAAACAAATTGGTAACTAGCCTCTTCGACACTGATATATTCTCATCGAAAATTCGACCGGCTACCACTTAAAATTATTTGTTTTTAGTTTAACAAGACACAAACATCTCAGGCTTTCACTTCATCGTCCACTGAAAGAGGGAAGTTAAGTAGTCTGGAAAAATAATGTTTGTAAAGTGGCATTCAGAATGTCTTTGATTTTTATCTAGTACACACGTTAGCTTTCATTTCATTTGAAGCGTAACATATTCAACGTGACGTTCTGCCATTCTTTAATAGATGGAATTTAATTAAGCTACAAATGTCTGGGTTAGCCATTATGAAACGAACGTTCTTTGATTCAAGGTGATATCTTGAAATATATGTCATATCTGTATAAAAAATTAATAGAGAAATATATTTTATGTCTACAAGACTTTTTTTATTAATTTCAGTTATTTTTTTTATCATTATTTTTATTTTATTTTATTTTATTTTACTTTACTTTACTTTACTTTACTTTACTTTACTTTACTTTACTTTACTTTACTTTTTACTCTTTTTAGTTACTAAGTATGATCCCTTATTTGATAAAAACTAGTATTAAGAAAATTTGTGGTGGTAATATCTTTAAAATGTCGTGCAATGTAAAAAGGAAAACGCATATTCACACGATTTTTAATAAAGAAAGTCTTTTTTCTTTTTACACCATTCTGAAAAAAATGACGTTAAAGTAAATGTAATTCATATTATCCTGACGCTTTTGGCCGACGAATCTAGGTAATTCAACCGGTCACACACGTAACTTATGATGTACAAGTCTCTAAAGTAAGTAATACGTATACACGCTCAGGAAGGAAAAAAAACATGCTTGTTGTTTGATGCATTTTATTAACTAACCGTGATAATCACTCTTGTGAAACCTGGACTAGTTTTCTGAATACAAACGCAGGGTAGGCTTTCTATCGCACAAATAGCTGAATCCTTGATGTTGAATCCTTGACTCTTTAAAATATGCAAACATTTGCATTCTTTATCTAATTGAGTCAATATCAATTTACGAAATGATATTTCAGGGAACCATACTTGTTTTGCAAATCAGAATAACACGTGTAAATTATACCGTAAAAAAACCTTGATAAACATGCATGTTATGCACTTTGAAGTTAAGTTAATGCATTGATAGCATGTTACTGAAATTGATACATTAAAACCTTAAAATGATAAACTTTATTTTGAATTACCACAACAATATATTTTTTGCCTTCGTAGGCGATTTAAACAAAAAAAATAACTTTGAACAGGCAAATTGTAAACAAACCGCATTGCATCATGGTATATAAATTAACGTGTATTATATTCATTAACGATTAACCCGCTGTATTTTTGTAATGGATTTGTCCATCTTCCATTTTTGGAACTGTCCATTATGAAATAGGGGATATCATGATAAAAAACTTTAGTCAGCCGTCAGCAGACGACACTGATATGCAGACTGGCCTGTCTGCTATTTACTATCGGGTCCATTCCTGTAAGGGTTAAGAGTGATGTAACCAAAGTATTTCCTGCCTCGACTTGTTAATTTTTGATATAATAGTATAATCATGGTAAATCATTCTGAAAAAAGCCCCAAAACAACGAAAAAGCTGTACAATCGCATTATTTACATATTTTTAAAATCGCATTTTCACGCAACGTCACACGCGAATATCACGTGTATTTAAGAAAACTAAAATGAAATGTTCCATGGGAAAATATTCCATTGATATTTTAAGTAGATTCAGAAGATTTCGCGCATGCGCTACCGTCCTGGTGTTTGTAAAGCGTCATACTTTAAATCTGTACCACAATTATACAAGAACTGATATTTCTTAAAACTTAAAGGTAAAATTGTTTGTTTTTCTTCAAACGTGTAATTAACATTTAACAAGGCCTTAATTTCGAAAGTAATGTAAATTTAAAAAAAAATTGCAAAGCGAGGAAAATTGTGCCCAGTCAGGATATTTAATACAAGATTTTAGGCTAAGTGCAGAAAGGAAAGTTAAATTATTTTGATAAATGGTATCAGTTTAATATTTTTCTTTAACCAGTTAAGATTTACTATATATAATGTTACAATGATATAGATGCAACATTTCAAAACAATTTAAGGAAATGTTTAATGTGAGCTACAAACTATCCAACATGTAACATATTTGATTCCTTCAGACGCCGCGTGCGCTCGCCTCAAGAAATACAATATTCTACATATTGGACAGTGAATCGACAACTTTTAATCCTTCACCCTTGAAAATGTTTTGCATAATACTAGTATATGAGCCGCGTCATGACATAACCAACATAATGCATTTGCGACCAGCATGGATCCAGACCAGCCTGCGCATCCGCGCAGACTGATCAGGATCCTTGCTGTTCGCTTACAAACCCTATAACAAGTAGCAAGTAGAGAAACTGATAGCGAACAGCATGGATCCTGATAAGACTGCGCGGATGCGCAGGCTGGTTTGGATCCATGCTTGTCGCAAAAGCACTTTGTTGGTTTTGTCGTGACGCGGCTCATATAAAGCATGCGAGTAAATAATGGTGTTTCTGAAAAGCTTGATAAGTCACACAATTTGATGATTATCTCGCTTGTAACTTTTATGCAAATTGGGTTCATTTGCGTAGGTAAGTATATAATTACAAGTTAAATAGACATGTTAAACATCTTCAAAGGAATCTTTACAAGCGTATTCATGACCAGACATAAGTGAATCCTATTTAACTAAGTTGCTCCGGGTCGAAAGTCATTTACATTATGGTGAATAACGTAACATTAGAATTCAGCATTTACCCCAATACACCTGTGATTATACCCGCATACACCGGCAATTTCGTGAAAACGGAGACAGGGACGTGTCGGGGGGGGCATTGTTTGGTAAATGGGCGTGCTGTTTAAATTTTAGGGTTTTGTGAAACATTTAAGTCCATTAGGAGACAAATTTATATCTTTCTGTATACGTTTAGACTTTGAGTTTATGTTTCACCCTGAAGTTAAATTACATTTTACACAGCGGTATAATTTAGTTATATATTTTCCAAAATGGCCCACTAGCAGAAACACAATACCCGTTTTAATTTCTTGCTTTTTGAATTTCGAGGTTTAGAATAAATAATGACGATTACCGGGTTCTTTAATTCAAACGTGTTAGACCTAAATTGTAACCGGGTTATAGAAATTGATATGTATTTATTTCGTAACATAAGTTTCTATCCGCTCCCATCCTTCTTTATGCGATATATTGGACAAATAAGAAATAAAGATGTATAACTTTAAGAAAAATATAAAAGACATGTTTTCAAAAATAGATTTAGATTTGAAGTTAAAAACAATACAGTGTCGTCAACATGGTTTTAGTGTGATGACGTGGGCACAGAATTTGACGCCCTAGCGTGACTTTATTCAATGACGTAACACACTGCGCCGGAAACGTTTAAAGATGCGTTCAAATTTAAAATTGGACACGCGCGCAAAAAGAAAATCACGAGAATCAACGCGCGATCACGTGCTCTTTTGTGGCTATTTCAATGTGTTTAAAGACGATGTAACATGTACGGACGTTCTGTAATATAAGTGATAACATTTAAATGTTTGCTGCCAAACCCTGTATTTAATGTCACATTTATTAATTGAAACACTCGTAAAAACTGCGGGTCGCTGCATTAAAATGCTGTGAAAATAAACGAGCCCAATTTAAGAAACGCAATATGGCGTTTAAAGGAGATTGAATAAATGACAATGTCCTTTTATATTGTCTTCTTTTGTAAGATTTATTTTCAAACTTTATATGGAGCCGAAAGACGAATGATCTAAAGAAATAAATATGTCATCTGTAAGAAGTCCAAACGTTACGAATTTATGCGAACGAATCACACGCTAATTGTAGCATTGAAAATGCACTTTACGTATTTCGCTTTATAACATACATAAACTATGAAGGGTCTGATATGACGGCCTAATATATAAACGATAAAAGTAATATTTAACACGGAGAAATGAAAAGTTAACATTTTGACAATTTCCGTTCGATTACGTTTCCAACGAATGTTTGTTTGGCATCTCCCGAAAGTGTCCGGAAATCGCTATATAGATTTGGTATATATAGAACTAGAATATTAATTTCAATAATTTAAGAAATCTGCTATAAATGCTCGAAAAAATAAACATATTTATGATAAATTATTGTTGAGTAGTGTTTGTGCCTTTAATCTGTATGAAGTGCTATAAGCATATTTCTTTCCATGACGTCATACCTCTCACATGCTTATCATACCGCACGTGATCTTCATGGTACCTGTTAGAAATGATTTAATCAGAATAAATACCAACCTTTGACTTCACGAGCGGCGTCTGGTAGTGAGTTGGTACATATTGCCTTCTGTATTTCATATTCGTACTGATATCACCTAAAAATAGTTCACTTTTTGCACGTGTTTTACTTGTAATATCACTTTTATGACCCGAGTTTATTTTTCTTTTCTCTACCCTGACTAGCTGCAGTTCATTCATTGTAAAATTAAATATCTTAGCACAGTCAAAATCTCTTTCAATAAAGTCATTATTTATATTGTTTTTACTATATTTCGTAAACTGGAAAATTGGGAATTTTTTGTACGGAAGCACAAAAGTGACTTCAGATTGTTTGCAGTATCGCACCATAAGCTTCTCAAATAGTTCCGCATTTTCTTGAGAATATGGAATGACTGAAATATCTGACAATGTATATCTGGTTTCATATGCCCCGGGGGTCCTCCACGAGGGTCGGGTAATTTTCACTGACCCCTTAGCATTAATAGAATGAGAGGGACGCTGACAATTTTCGTCCTCATAGTAAAATATCTGACTCTGGAAACTGTTCCGTCGAAATAAATATTTCCTCAAAACAAACTCTGGACCTGGTCTTGTCTCACAACTGAAATGAGATACAAAAAATATCATCATTATTAATAAATTGTAGTTTCACACTAATTTAAGTGAAATGTGGTGCTTTTTATCCAGACTAATCACACTTATTGTAAAATTTGGTTTATATTCAAGTTTCAATAAAATGTGGTTTAAAATTGTGTTTCTACTCGACTTAATAAAATGCAGTGCTTTTCATTTTGACTGGAATGTTAAAAGTCCCAAAATATTGAAACCGTATATTTGTCATATAAAAATGTGTAGATCAGATGGAAATAAATGCTTAAAATACTAAAACACTCGGATGAGTTTAATTTTGAATATCGCACCAAATCATGACTTAAGTAAAAAAAAACTCAGTTCGGTTTAATTGTAAAATAAATTTCAAAATAATATCCTATCTTCAGTTCCTCTTAATTTTCGATCAAGAGTCAGTTTGTAGCTACGGAAATTAAGCAGCCATTTATAAATATGAATATATTTTTTAACATCTCAAAATACTTTTAATATATTCTTAAATTTCGTTTTCCGATTAAAGCAAATATATAAACGTATAAATGATAACAGAGTGCATTTGTATATCTCACATTTTGTATTGTATAATTTAAATTATACGATGCTATGTATTGTATATACTTATCATCTATTATATGTACATAACTTCTTTTGTAAATATGTTTTGCTCTCCAGTATTTGGGGATAATAAATAAGTATAAAATATTAATAATAAAAATTGGTTTAAACATATAATAAACATTCTGCAAATAGCTATATTCACGCCCGTTTAACTCACAACGAGTGAAAAATGTCCATCGGTAAAAATGTTGTGAGCAACTTCCGTTCCTCGTTGTGAGCACCCATCTTTGACGTGTGACACGATAAACAAGGTGAGTTTTTCATAATTTTTGAAGATTACAGACATTTATGTAAAAATATCGAAATGCAGTTAGCTAGCGATGTGTTTTCCGAGTATGCACATGTAAAGATATTGCCTGTTGGTGGACAATTTGATGGAAATACCGTGCGACGCAGTCACTCGGGGTAGCAGGAAAACTGGAGACAACTTCTCTTTGGACCTAATTTAACATTGAAAACGTCGATTCTGGTGACGTTTTGTGCATTCTAACCTAAAACAGATGCCCACAAGTCTTCAGCGTAAATTATTATCTGAAAGTCTTCATAGAAACGAAGATATACCCTTTTTTGCTTTAATCCTCGTTGTGAGCACCATAACCTCGTTGTGAGCAAGACAAGCGCAGTGCGTGTATGGTTTTAATATGTAATTCAGATGGTGAAAATATAATTTTCAATCTACCACAGCAATTAAAACGTTTTTGCACAGCAGCATTTCTTTGCAAGACGTTGTGCATACCCCAAAGGGAGGCATATTAGTTTTGAACTGTCCGTCTGTCAGTCCGTCAATCTGTCCGAAAACTTTAACATTGGCCATAACTTCCTTATTAGTAAACGGATTTGATTCATATTTGAACACAACATCCCTTAGCACAAGACCTTCCTACGGACCTGTATTTTTTTACCTTGGCCCCTGAATGGCCTTTACCTTGAAGGTCAAATTGTCCAAAAACATTTAAGATTGGCCATAATGTCCTGGCATAATGTTTAGGCACAACACATCTTTGGACAAGGCCTTTCAGCTATCCTATATTCTTTTGACCTTGACCCCTGAATGACCTTCACCTTGAAGGTCAAATTGTCCAAAAACTTAAAAATTGGTCATAACTTCCTTATTAGCATACGGATTCTACTCATATTTTGAAACAACACCCCTTTAGGCAAGACCTTCAAACTGATCTGTATTTTTTTTACCTTGTACCCTGAATGACCTTCTAGAACATCCAAAAACTTTAACATTGGTCATAACTTCTTTATAAGTAAGTGGAATTAATTCATATTTGGACACAATGCCCCTTTGGACAAGACCTTCCAACTGACCTATAGTTATTTCACCTTGACCTTGAATGACCTTCACATTGAAGATCTAATTGTCCAAAAACAAATAATCTATCTGGTCCATATTTCAAAGGACAAAGCACCACTTCGGGGGCATTGTCAACTTACCGTGATAGTTCTTGTTCTACATAACTTGGTCAGTCTTCAGCTCAGGATAAACACATGTATGTGTGTATCACACAGATTGTGAAATTGTTGAAATATTCACAAACTCCCCGTGATGTTCACTCGTGCCACACTAGAGTATACGAAATAAAATAGCTGATTTACCTCCACTGATAAGTTCTTCTGTTAATCTGATGACTTGTGAATATGAAGAATAATTTTCAAAAAAGAAAAAGAAGAACTTTTGCAAAGAAAAACTATTGTACAAAAACGTTTTGATTGCTTTTGGTAGATTGAAAATTGTATTCTTGCCATTTGAATTACATATTAAAACCAGACAAGCTCTGCGCTTGTCTTGCTCACAACGAGGTTTTGGTGCTCACAACGAGGATTAAAGTAAAAAAGGGTATATCTTCGTTTCTATGAAGACTTTCAGATAATAATTTACGCTGAAGACTTGTGGGCATCTGTTTTAGGTTAGAATGCACAAAACGTCACCAGAATCGACGTTTTCAATGTTAAATTAGGTTCAAAGAGAAGTTGTCTCCAGTTTTCCTGCTACCCCGAGTGACTGCGTCGCACGGTATTTCCATCAAATTGTCCACCAACAGGCAATATCTTTACATGTGCATACTCGGAAAACACATCGCTAGCTAACTGCATTTCGATATTTTTACATAAATGTCTGTAATCTTCAAAAATTATGAAAAACTCACCTTGTTTATCGTGTCACACGTCAAAGATGGGTGCTCACAACGAGGAACGGAAGTTGCTCACAACATTTTTACCGATGGACATTTTTCACTCGTTGTGAGTTAAACGGGCGTGATATTATACCTCATTTGCATACGCCCCTCTATATTTAATATGACGTCATCCGGTCCATAAACCGCATACAGACCGGGGGCGGTCCATAATTCTTATATGGACCGGATGACGTCATATTAAATACAGAAGGGCGTATGCAAATAGGGTATAATATTTTATTTTGTTGTTAAATGAGTCTTTTTACTAAATTTTTTGTTTTGTTTCACATAAATGTATTATATATTGATCAAAAGTCATGATTTGTCATTAAATTAATTATAAATTTTATTAATACAGTTTGTGAAAATCTGAAAGTTCGGCTTTTTTGCCAGTTTAATTTGATTTACAAAAATTTGAATAACAAAAGAAGAGCATGATTTTTTTTTTTGCTGTATCGCTTGAAAATCTTGAAAATAATAATAAAAAATTCGACAATGGTTTGAGATATTTCACACAGTGAACAAATAACTTATTATTTGAAAGCAAATTATAGTAAAAATGACAGCAACAAAAGGGATGAAAAAATTAAGATTCGGTATAATATAACAAATAAAACATGGCCTTTCGGGCAAAATACAAGTTTACGGACTGGTTGGTCAGACCTCGGAAGGTATATGGCCCTCAGCTGCGCTTCGGGCCATATACCTTCCTCAGTCTGACCAACCAGTCCGTAAACTTGCATATTGCCCTCAAGGCCATGTTTTATTTGTTAAATGAATACTACTAGATATCAGGTAACAACAACACTCACACCTTCCCAACTCTACGATCAATTTTTTTAGCCCCTTTCCTAAAAAAAGAAAGAGCCAAGAGTTCAATTTGAAATTTTACAATTTAACCTTGAAAACATTCAAACAGACAATGTTCTGGATATTTATGCTGACATTTTAATGACCGCAGTAATTTGACCAGAAATGATGAACCCCCCATTTTTACTCCACATTCCATTACGCTTTAAGTACCCAAAGACACTAAAAATAACACAACTAATTTATTGTACATGATCTGTTAATCATAGGTGAGTAAATGGTGAAAAAAAAAGATTTACACATATCATCATTGTTGTTGCTTGTTGTTGTTTGTTTTTTTTACGATATTTACATAGATTATTAGCTATAAATATTTTGACAAGTTATATGGTCCAGTATAAACGGCGAGAAATGTTTATTATTTTAGCATTTAAACAATCGTTTATACACAGAATAACCACCTATATAACGAATTTCTAATACTGTTATATTGAATTATTTGAATAAAAAATGAAATGAAATGAAAATTAATTCATAGAATCATAGCGACCGTGTAAATAATCCGGAGTGAAAACTACCACAACCACCACCAAATTTTCCATTGAAAATCGATGTAACAAAAGTGCAATTTTAAAAAGGTGGTTAAGAATTATACATAACTGGTTTTATTTTTTGTTTTTTTTTATAAAGATAGTATCGGTATTTTCTGTAATATATATTGCAATGCGCGCGGAGACTCCATTCAGTCGGGGTTTAAGTATATTCGATGATTAGACAATTGAAATGAGTAATTTTATCAATGTTTTACCTAAATTTCGATAAATCTATCTCATTATTTTAAAAACATTTTTTGTAAATAATGTACAAAGGTAGATAGTAAACTTGCGATAACCTTTTACAACTCAAGTAGACCATGATTGTGTTTATCATCAAAGAAAATAGACATCAAAAGTTTGCATTTTTTGTAAATATGTTCTAAAATATGAGTATAGACTCGTTCTGTCTGTCACATTTTCGTTTGCTCAAAAGTCAAAGAATTATATAAATCATATAAAATCTTCATCGCAATCATAATCATCATCATCATCATCATCATTTACAACAGCAACAACAACATCCTAGTCAGTAGCGTGTCCGTCTACATTAAGAACCTTAGAATGATTTTGAGCCACAACAACTTTGCCAGTGTAAGAAGGCGGTCAGCGAACAGAAGCCCTTACAAAACCTCAAATATTTTCATAATTAGATTTGAGCCCGTTCAATGCCCCGCTGTGTTGGGGGAAGGCCAGTCATACACTTAACACTGGTGTGCTATTCATCTAAGCAGACCGGGTACCTAAATGTCACGCCATGCCACTTAAAACAAACAAATGACCGCGTTTGTTCATGCTTGTACTGTGTGTCCTTATTTAAATTCGATTAAAATATAAATATTGTTTGTTTACACTCTTCCACCATTTATGTTTTCATTACTTGTAAGTGTTTTGCAAATAAAGAATTTACATGTGTTCTGATTATTTTGGGCGGTCCGGATTTTTTATTTTCGTTTAAACGAATTTTTTTTTACTGTTCAGACTGTGAAGAATGAATGAGCTTGACTGTCAGTGTTGAAAATTAAATTATTTTACAAATAAACTATATTTTGTTTGTATTACTATGTAAACTAAATTATGGAGAAAGGTTGCTGAAACTAAATCAAATACAAATGCATGGGAGAAATATAGCAAACCCTTGGTTGTATTTATATTTTATAATAATCAAACATGTTTTACTTAATGGTTTCACAGAGAAAAATGTATACATTTCTAACAATTTGCACTATTTTCATAATGATACATGAGTTAATGTTTTTCTGTATTACATGTATATATTAAATGTACATTTATTTGTTTCGCCTCTGATGATATAATGCAAAGAATCTCATATTGACACTATTTGCCGTTAATTTTTTAAACCTTATAAGTAATAATAGTTTTCTTTTTAAATTAAATTTAATGGTTTTTTTTCAAAAATAAACTATATTCGGAATCCTTTGCCCAATTTGAAACTTTGCTATATGGCACGGATGAGAGAGACGTAATTAAATTATATTATATATGACATCCCTGTGACAACTATAATGTTTCTCTAAATAAGATACGCGTGTCATATGTCAAAACTATACTAGTAAACTGTTAAACTAATGGACTGAGGACCGTACTTTAGTGAGGACTAAAATATTAACATCATCTCGTAATGTCTATATGCCGTGTTGTTTTGTAGACATTACTTGTATTTATTTAAGCTATTTATCCGTGTATCATACAGGTTTTTGTTGAGGTTAAGATAATTTGACCGTGCATGCAGTTGTGAAATGTTTAAATGTATAGCTTTAGTCAGCTGCAATTGAGCGCATAAAATGACTCGAACCCGCGCCGTCAAGATGGTTTGGGTCCCGCTTATGAAATAATTCACAGGATAGTTAAATTCCATATTCATTTTGTCAGTAAACAATACATATAGAAAACTATTTCATTTTTTAATTTCATTAGCTCAAGAAAGCAAAAAACATGACATAACAACAGGACCAATGTCTTAAACACTAACAACAGTACAAGTATGTTGATTTATTTGTTTCAATGAGCCACCAAGTTGAGACCCTTATGTCCTGTTGTCATTACATTAACCCATAGCACGCTCAATATCATAAATGAACTTTTGTTATATTTTCTTTTCCTTCGTGATAATTTTGCCAACACTGTAACGCTTAAGCCGGTGCTAGGGGGGGGGGGCATGAGGGATGTTGTATTTTTTTCATTATCCCTTATGTACAGACAGAATCAAACCGACTCTGAAATGTTCATGCGATTTGGGTTAAAGAAATAAAACGTCCTTTTGTCCGATGACAAGTTGCTGAATTTTATTCATGTCTTACTATATTGTTATCATATATATGTTATAGTTCTGTTCTGTTCAATTTTTCTGCATTCTGTCATATCCAACAAAGATATTGTAATTTATGTCATGTTATCATGACAGTCGATTAGTCACAGTAATATCTATAACTGTCAAGAACATTTCCGATTAAATAGCAACATTTGTAGCTGACAGCTGCTGTCATTTCCAGCATCATTTCACGTAAATATAGCAACAGTTTATCTAATAATTACACAATTTCTAATAAACCGAATTTTGCCGCATTATAAATTCGAATTTAACAAACACATATATATCAATATTATGGTGACATAGATTTTTATAATCTTGGAATTTCAATAAAAGTTTTTTTTTAATGTTATTTTTTACTTTTATCAGGGTCTGAAATAACCTTTTAAGCACGTGTTTATACGTTTTTCTGCCTGTTAATCTAATATTACAAAGATGCGTACCCCTATTTACATATCTGAACACGTAACCTCACCACCGAGTGAAATAATATAATCTCTATCAATTAAAACGGAACAGAATGAGCGGGTTTATTTACCACCATGTCATAATCTGATCCTGTTATTTTTAATAATTGGATACTAATTTTCGTAGTAATGTAAGATTTGAAATACCAACAAGGTCCTATTACTTTCTAAATCATGTTTAAATATCGTCACTTGGGGAAAAAAGGGCAAAGGATGAAAGGAAATACGTTTTCACGCGTACGAGCGGGGTCGCTGGCTTTTTATGATTTGCAGTAAACAATAATTTTAAAGAACGTGTCGCTATGCTTTTTATGTGGTTGAGAAGAAACGAGCCCATAAAATACCGTTTAATAGGGGAAATTTTCTACAGATTGTTATTAAAATATTTCTACTGATTGATAACATTTATTGGTGTCTTTTTTGAAAGGTGTAACTAATTGAGAAAAAAATTTTAATGAGAATTAAACGAACTTTGGATATTAATGTATTTTATGCAATTTGAAAAATGCACTGGGTATACTTAACTTTAAGCCATACGTGCAGGTCAACCCGTGTAAATATCTCCACAATTTGATTAAATATGGTGCAATTTCACATAAACCGAATTTTTAACAGCAACACCCACCACCACTGATAGCAAGAAAAAAAGTTCCACGAATAACATTGCATTGCATTTCAATAATCGCATCCTACTCATAGTTACAATAAAATTATATCTGTACGGAAGTGATTGAAATATTCAGCAAATTTGAATAAGAGTATTTTATTTTTTCATTGGGTTTCAAGTCACACCAACACAGCAGAGGTCCAATGGCAACTTCCCAGCCTTACTGGTGGAGGAAGACCTCAGGTGCCCCACTGTGCGTTATTTCAGATACAAACGGGGACCTGAGTAGAACAACTAACGTTCCGCAAACTAGCTGCATGGATAGTTTTCTTACATGAAAGAATCTAAAGACGTTTTCGAAGCTCGAACCTACAGCGGTGAGACGCAACGACCTTAACAAATCGGCCAAGGACGCCCCTTTAGTCTTTATTTAAGAAGTATCAAGAGATGAAAGCATAATTATATGGAATTTCTTATTATTTAGCGCTTTACTCACCTAGATGACGTCCAGTGTCCGGAAAGTTTCGGAGGAGTCGGGGATCTGATTGAAATGTCCGTAGCCTCCCGGAGCGTTCTTCGGCAATCGTCCTCCACCCATTTCGCGATATCGTCACCTTGACCTTCTGTGTGTTGCAATGTCAATGTCACACATAAAATACCTGCAAATAAATTAAAAAGAAAATGAGGCAATCGTGTTTTATGAGCAATTGTTTTTCCCCTAAATAATTTGGACTATCGACGTTCTTTACATTACAAAGTACGTAAGAATTAAGTGATTAAAAAAGGATTTTTTGCACAAGTATCAATATATTTTGGGTTCTTCCCAGCTAATAAAGGGGTACAACAAACTTTTACAGCTACAGCTTCGAAAAATAAGCACCGCAGGTTTTATTGTGAACGGTAGGGCACCGCGAGGCTATACTGGTAAAAGTTTTGTTTGTACCGCGTGGGGGGAGGGGAGTTAGCTTGGAAAAACCAACATTTGCCGAGTTCCGGATTACAACTATTATAACAAAATCATCTTGTGATAATTTTTTACCAGGATTATCACTTGACACTGGCTTCTTTCAATACATAAAATGCAAATAAGTATTGCTTTATGTTATATTTCATTGCTCAGTCACTCTGACCATTTGTGTGCGTAAAAATACGAAATACGGTATACAAGCAGTTTTCTTCCCCCCCCCCCCCCCCCGAGTACTGTTTAATTAGTGTTGTACTTCTAAATCTATGTTAACTACTTAAAAGATGATAGTTTTATATAAAAGAACTAGAGCTTGTTTCGAATGTAGTTTCATATAATTGATGGAAAATAGGGAGAAAGAAACAAGATAAAAAGTATTATTTAAAGTCTTCTTTTGCGACAAAGATTACGCTCAAGATTAAGCGGTTCGTCCCTTGAAATTTTCGAACTTACATAATCTTAAGCGATGAGTGGAAACATTGTTTAGAAACTGGCCAATGCTGCTACAAAAGATTTTCAATTTATTTGCATACTTCGAGAGTTTGATTAGGGTATGAAATGAGAACGATCCACTTAAGGGGGTATATTTAAAGTTAAAGCCTTTGTCGTGCAAGGAGACGATTTATTTGAAGTGGTGGGGCTTTATTTTTACGACCCGATTTTCAGAAGGCTGTTAATATATTGAACTTTGGAAAAACGGTTTAAACAAATTTCCGAAAAATATATTCTACTGTAAATACTGTAAACAGGTGCACTTGAGAGACTTAGATTAAACATGTGATTATAGACGATCAAACGGTGTTAAAGATACTTTTACGTATAAAAAGCAATTTAACGAGCAAGCTCAATTATGTGGTGAAACTCCTCGAAAACAAAAAAGCCGCAAATTTTCTATTAAACAGCTGGTTGAATTTGAATTCAAACGCGTTTTGAATTGCTTTCGAACTTTTTTGCCTCCAATTTCCTTCCTTAAATCAATCTATTTAAATCGTAAAATTATGTAAATAGTAATTTTTCCATTAATACGCCTCTAATGTAACGTAAGAGAGGAGTATTCATTTCAGTGGAAAAAATAACTTATTTTTCTTTAATGAAAAACAAAATTTTACTTTCCATGAATGACTGAAACTGTGTGTCATTATAATATATATGAAGTCACAGTACATACTGTTATCATAGAGACGTCTCGTTAAAGACATATAATAAATACATTTCCCCCCTTTTTTAAGTCATAGATTCGGATTAAAGAACTGAAATATGGTCTGATTCCTGCCATTAAACTTTTTTTTCTTTTGTAATAATTCAAAATGCCTAGGTCACGTGGATCTTTTTTTTTTAAATATTCAGTTACCCTTTAACTAAAGCACTAACGAAACTATAAAAGAAGACCCGATCTTGAAATGACTTTTACCAATTTGACAAAAAAACAAAATCTTTTCGTCTAACTGCTGAGGTACTAAGTTTTAGATTTCGCAAACATTTGACATTTTTTTGTCGCACTAAGGTCAAAGCAAACTATGACCCCTGTTTACTGCTCATAGTTTTTTTGGTATGAGACGTGAATACATGACAAATACACTTGTGTTGTTGTTGTTATAGTGAAACTGTTTTCGATTTATCAAGCAGCGACACCTATTGACGAGTTTGTCAAACCGCTGTTATAGCAGTTGTCTCGAGTGGTCAAAGACGAAAACGCTCAACAAAGGATGTCACAGTGTGGAGATTGGTCAACGTTGAATTCAACACCTGTTTCAATATAATCTGATACCTACAAGCAAATGAGTCACGTATACGAAATTCTACATTTTGTTTTATTTTGTATCAAACTAATGTTAAAGTGCTTATTATTTTTATATGTTGAAATATGTCTTTAATATATACTGGCTTTTTGAACAAGCAAAGACACATTCTGCTTGTTATATAATATAAGTGCTTCACTTTGATTGGTTCACACTTTGGCTTTTATAATGACGTTATATAGCGTTTCAAACTCGTATAAATGTAATCTTTTTTCATTGTTTTTTTTTTAATTATTTCTCCGGAAATAACACATTTGATTATATGTCTAGTGACTTTCTGTTTATTTTTTATTCTTTTTGCAACTAGATTTTTATGATTATTACATGTATTATTTGAGCTATCACTATCTACTGTGCATAATTCGATTAAAGGGTCTATCTCGAAGTAATTTTGGTCTCGTCAACAGAAATATTTAACGATATTTACAAATGCATTTACCTTCTAATAGAGACAAAAATATATTTTTTTTTAATTCAAGACACTCGTTTTTTTATGATATGTTCAAAGTTTTAAGATGTCTTCCTATAAAAGTTTAGTATGATATAATAACATTTCATCTGCATGCCTCCAGATGAACCAAAAAAATGAGCCGTGTCACGACAAAACCAACATAATGGGTTTGCGACCAGCATGGATCAAGACCAGCCTGCACATCCGCGCAGTCTGATCAGGATCCATGCTGTTCGCTTATCAACCCTATTACAAGTAGAGAAACTGATAGCGAACAGCATGGATCCTGATCAGACTGCGCGGATGCGCAGGCTTGTCTGGATCCATGCTGGTCGTAAACCCATTATGTTGGTTTTGTCGTGACACGGCTCAAATAATTCAAACTTGAGAAATTCGCACTAAGCTTGTTTAGGAAAGTAATAAGCTTCAAAATTCAAGTAATAATTTACATGTTCTATTCGATTAATGACTGATTTTGTAGTATTTATCACCATATTTCTATTGCGTGACCCAACGCAGTAAGGGCTATCATTGCATATTTTGACCTCCTTTTGGTTATTTACGTGGATGCTGCTTTAAAGCGGCCGCTTTGAAATGTTTTATACTTTATGGTGACAATAAACGAAATATTAAAAAATATCAAAGATTGAATCAAATTTTTCTTAAAGTGAATCGTTTCACATGTGAAAACTGTCATTAATTATGAACAGTGTATTTATCGAAGTCTTGGACCGTCTGTGATTAATTACAGACCCACATCGCAAACCCCTCTGTCGCCGTTTACAAAATACGGGTTTCAATGAAAAACAATTCCTAAATTTTCCTTATTTAGCAAATTTTTTTTTCAAGGCCTGTTTTGCAATCTGATATTTAGCGAAACTAAGGGATATTCATAAAATACAAATAAGAAATGAAGTTCTAAATTTTATGATTGATACGTCTTTAGCGTGATCAAACACTTTTCGTAATTTCCGTACCATCATAGTGACGGTTGTGATAAATGCAGAACGATTCTCGTTATGTCGCAGACATCGCTTACCACCCTATAACATGCAAACTTTTGATTTTTATGACTGACTAGAGAATTTACAACTGAGCCGCGCCATGACAAAACCAACATAATGGGTTTGCTACCAGCATGGATCCAGACCAGCCAGCGCATCCGCGCAGTCTGATCAGGATCCATGATGTTCGCTTACAAACCCTATAACAAGTGGAGAAACTGACAGCGAACAGCATGGGTCCTGATTAGACTGCGCGGATGCGCAGGCTTGTCTGGATCCATGCTGGTCGCAAACCAATTATGTTGGTTTTGTCATGGCGCGGCTCAAATTGTCATTCTGAAAGCAGGGCTGAAATTTTTCTTTAAAAAAGTGTCAAGACCTCAATGATTTTGGAGAGTAACGGAGTCCGTAGCGTAAAATTTAATGGTTATCGTATTTAAAATTTCAAGTATATTTTCATTGTATACTGTTATTTTATACAAAAATAAAGATGTTAAAGTTCTAGTTATTAAATAGAAAATGTATGTTTATCTCATTTTGTAGTGCATTAATTAAAAGAAACCGATATGACAAAGTCAATCGAGTCAATAAAATAAAAAGTAGTGTATCAGTAAGTTTCAAATAATTCAAGAAAACTGCAAATTAAACAAACTGTTAAAAAGATTATCCCAACCCTGTATATTATTAAGGATCTGAAATAAACAAACAAAAATGATTAACGTTGTTATGTGTATACCTATTATGTTATGAAAACAATCTTTCAGACTGGCTTTTCTCATTCTTTATCAAAGCACTATCAATGAAAATAATCCACTCAAATTGAAAATTGTTATGTCTTCATATGAACGAAGTCAAAATCATTCCGAAAAAAACACACAAAAAACACGTGTACAGCTATACATGAAAATTCACAGAATATATTCATTCACACACATAGTTATAAATAACGTTTTCAGTGCAACTTTTCTATTATTAAATATGTATTTTCATAAATTTTGTGCATGTTTTGACAAGAAGGGCCGATGACAATGAATTTTCAATCAAGTTCATCAGTATTAAAACTCTTATGCATATCTTCTGAGTTTACGACACCCTTCCTAAACCTACCAGAAAGGTTTCCCACCGATGTAGAGTGCCAAAATGACGGATTTATAGACGTTCTCGAAAGATTTATTCTGTTTTTCTATCTTTACAGAACACCGTCTAAACAGATCTACAAACATTTGTTTTATATGGGGTGTCTTTTGAAGGGCCTTTCATCTCTAAATCTTCTTTTATAAACGGATCATCAAATGTTTATATGAACAGTAGGAATTAGCACTTGAGAATTATGTCAATACGATGTCGTTAACCCCAATAATAGAAGGGTAAATATTTTCGCACCAGTCTGTTGATAGACGCTTTATTCCAGTCATCAAACATGTGTATAAAGTCATCCGGG